GTTGCGGATCTTCTCTTGAATGTACGTAACCACCTCGTTATTCTGTGGTCACGCGTTCTCACCAGCTGTGAAGGCAATCATGCAAAAATTGGGTGGAATGCTCCACCAGATACTACAGGAATATGATTTGATGCTGCAGAATTGGCCTTACACGCACCCTCTGGATGTTATGATTGGAGTAGAACGGGTACGTCGGCCTTACTACGTGTGCCAGTCGCTGTTGACACGTGCCTCGCAGTTCAAATCCTGGTGTACGCTGCTCGACAACATCATCGATTGGAAAGGTCCTGAAGACAAGCTTCCAGAACTGCAAACGATGGCAAAAAGCTTGCGGGATCTTCTTCATTCCCAAATTGAGCACCTCCGGCACAATAGAAGTGCGGAAGCTACATAGTAGCTATTAAATGTCAATCGCGCCCTGTTGCTTCAATGCTCGGTCTCGGAAGGGCTGTTGGAGCCCACTGCCATCTACAACAATAGTAGCAAAGAGCATTACCACCTTCAAAGATAGCAACCTTCATGGAAACGATCAGGCTGCAGCACGACTTCATATAACTGCTTTGTCATCAGTCTTGGGGAAGCTGAGATATTTACACACCATCACCGGATGTAGGCCGCAACGACCTGTTCTAGCCGCGGTTGTTGCCAGGATACGGACCACAGCAGAGTCAAGGGAGGTCAGCAGACTTGACAGCTACACTGCCAAAAGTTCTATGGGTGGTGACCAGACGGAAGGTACTGGAAAGTTCCTGGACGATGACGCCCGAATAAGACACGTGAGCGCTCGATTTCCACCATATTTCGCCTCTGGCCACGGAGCAATTCCAGACGCGGATGAAAGCCAGGCATGAAGACGGGTGGTAGAGACATGTCTTCGCTGGTAGAAGCCACCCGTGTACTTGTGACCTTCGAAACTCTGATAGTCTGTCATCTTGCCGAGTTCGCAGAGTAGTCGACAGCATACAGCGGGTGTATCAGACAGCTTTAATGTAACGATAACTTCATTGAGTGCTTGCAATTGCGGTAATATAATACATTGTAACACTGCCGTAAAACTAAACTTGACCACCGACAAATTCATCGACAGCCTGCTGCCACTCCGGAACTTGTTCCTGAATGTCGCTATCCTCACCCTCCTCAGTGACACCGTGAGTAGCCCGATCATTTGCTAAGATCTTGCTAAAAATCTTGGTCATCTTCTTGGGATTGCTGCCGGCCACGTTGCAAATCTCTGCAAGGTTCTTGTTGGCTGCATCCCAGAAGTCACGGTTGGAATTTGTCAAGAATGTCTTCCGCTATTACAGATGGTCCGCATTAATCATTGCCAAGCATCAGAAGTTGAACAAGAGGCGAGCACGTACTAGGAGCGCCACTCTTGCGCAGAGCTGAACAGACGGCTCGCATGACGTGCCCTCGCAGAGTTCAACAGTGAGCTTGAAGATGTTGAGGTGTTCCTGATGGTCATCACTGTCAGTGCCAGCACGGAGCTAAGTGAGACAAGCATTAGCACACTACTAACATGTCAAGAAGATCTGGAATAAGTTCGACTTACCGTCTTTTTGATCTTTGCCCGTTGCTCGGTCATTTCATTCTGGATGGCCTTAATCACCTTGGACCAGCAGCCATGGTTGCGCTCGATATCTGCTGGCAAGTCGAACCGGTAGCGTTTGAGGATGCCCTGTAAGACAGATATACAGATATTAGTAGTACATAGAAACACCCAAATATAAGGACATACTGCAACATAGTTGTTGGGCACGACACCCTTGTATGTTGCGAGCCAGCTGGAAAGTAACATGCCCATTGTGTAGTTTCGGATGTTGGCCTGCCGCAAAGTCAGCCAGCACCGAATACAGTTGAACGGGGCGTACCATGCTTACAATTAGTTCGTCCGAGGGCTCCCATGGAGCCTGCATAGTGATAAACTCGTCTTGCCACTGCTGAATGGCGAGTAGAAGTGAGAAGGCCTTCATCTCCCGAGTGGCCGAAGAGTCCTACATCGAAAACTGTAAGCCCGCTAGCTACGAATTGAGGGTGGCCCAATAGAAAGACATGCCGTGGCAAAAGAATTGAGCTTCTCTTGCTGCTCGGCACGAAGCTTCGTTTTTGCTCCCAGTCTCTTGGCATACTCGAGGACGTTTTGGTTGACTGTGTTGGTACTAGCTGCAGGCTGTGCTGTAGAGTGGGTAGGGGAAGTATCATCTTGACTGGTAGTAGGATCTTGAGAGCAGCCTCTGATAGTGCTAGTGTCCTCTTCCTCCGAATCACTTGTGCTCTCAGCGGGGCAGATTCGTTTTCCGAGAACCGTGGCCGGCTGCCTGGGGCTGCCAGGTGGCGAGCTGTTGGCATTAGCAAACTGTTCAAGCTCATCACAGAAGGCAGTTGCAGAAGACGCAGAGGGCATGTCGATGTGTGTTCAGGAGGAAGAATGGCATGCCGTTCTGTGGTTTTATATTGTGGTCAGTTGGTGGCCTTTTGAAGGACCGCTCATGTCTCAATCAATAACGGCCGCGCGCGATCCATTGGCGTGAGTGAAACCACACACATCATAAGCCGTCTCCATTTTTTACTTCACCTATCGGTGTTCACGTCCTGGAAGCATGTCTCGCCAAGAATTG